GTAAATCTAATGCTTAAGACTATTAGGTGTTTGTGGCAGCAACTGTAATGTCTTTGATAACACATTCTAAGTATACAAGATAAAGTAAAACATCTGATGACACTAGAATACATTCTTCAGTTAAAAACATCTATGCTAGTCGAGAGCAAGAGAAACCTTTAATATTTATTTCCCTTGAAATATAAGAAGAACTTAAGTCCAAGATTTTGTTATATGTTGGATCTCAGAAAATTCAAATATGGAAAAGTCAAGTAAAATATCTCTCAACATTGAAACCAACAGAACTTCTTCCAGAGAAAAAAATTCACAAATATATTAATCAACAGGAATTTATTTCAAATAATCATCTCTAAATACTATTTAAGATAACAGAAAAATAGCACTAATGGTTTCTTTTGTTTCTTTACTTCCAATAAGACAGTCTGCATTTACATGTAAGGTGACATTTCAGAGGTATAATTTTGTGTGTGTGTGTGTGTGTGTGAGGAAGATTGGCCCTGAGCTAACATCTGTTGCCAATCTTCCTCTTTTTGCTTGAGGAAGACTGTTACTGAGCTAACATCTGTGCCAATCCTCCTCTGTTCTACATGAGATGCCACCACAGCGTGGCTTGATGAGTAATGCTAGGTCCATGCCTGGGATTGAAACTGATGAGCATCAAGGCTGCCCCAGGGAGAGAAGCCCAAGGTGACCTGCCCTACATACCGATCTATATCCTCTGGGAAGCATGGGACGTCATGACCTGATCTGATCTGATTCTTATCTAAAGTTACAGGACCACTGGATAACCAGACCCCACCTACACTGATACCATTTTAATGACTTTTTACATGATCTTTCCTTTGTCTTGTAAAGAAATAACTCATATACCTATGCCTTATAAGTTTAGCCCTACCCTCAACCCATTGCAGCTCTTCACTGCCCATGGGTCTGTCCCCATGCTGGCAGCTCCTTACTGCCCATGGGTCCTGTCGCCATGCCTGCAGCTCTTCACTGCCCATGGGTCCTGTCCCCATGCCGGGAGCCCTTTACTGCCCATGGGTCCTGTCCCCATGCTACTCCATGCTATTCTCTGAATAAAGGAGCACTACTGCCAGACCTTGAGAGTCCGAGAAATCTTTCTTTTGACTCCTTGGCTCGCCGAACCTGCATCACAAACCCACGAACCCACGGCCACCAAAGTGGAGCACGCAAACTTAACCACTACGCCACTGGGCCAGCTCCTCAGAGGTACACTTTTCATAAAAGAAATTCTGAGTCCAATATGCTGATCTAATTTTTTTGCTTGAGATAACCTTCATTTAGAGTTTTTTTATTTTATTTTTTTCCTTTTTCTCCCAAAGCCCCCCAGTACATAGTGGTGGGTCCTTCTATTTGTGGCATAGAGATTTTAAGGAGCAGTATTAACATAAAAGTTATTCCTACATCTTTGAAAGCCAAAAATAATATACTCTTTTTTAAAAAACAAAATGAATTAAATCATAATTAGCATTACACTAACTAGAATAGATTAATGTACTTTGGGGGTGACTAAATATAGGTTCACTGGGCTATATCAATATTTGGATTTAATCATACTGGGCATATGTAGTCTAAATTTAGAAAAATTGAAATGGATTGGATAAGAAGACTTGTTCCCATCACTTTTATTTGTCAAAAAGTGGGAGTCTTTATTTTCTTTCTTTATTTTTTTGAGGAAGATTAGCCCTGAGCTAACATCTGCCGCCAATCCTCCTCTTTTTGCTGAGGAAGACTGGCCCTGAGCTAACATCCGAGCCCATCGTTTTCTATTTTATGTGGGATGCCTGCCACGGCATGGCTTGAAGAGCAGTGCATAGGTCTGTACCTGGGATCCGAACCACTGAACCCAGAGCCACCAAAGTGGAGCATGTGAACTTAACCACTGCGCCACTGAGCCAGCCCAAAACTGGGAGTCTTTAAATGTAGGGTATATGGAGACTTTGAGAGAGGTACATGATCAGGAGAGTTTTAAGGGAATCAACTCCGTGATCTCCAAGTTTCACAACTACTTTAGTGGAAACTGACCCCTAGAGAACGTGCCAATGGCAAAAGAGCAGGTGCCCCTTTCCCACATCCGTCCCCTTTCAAGTCGCCCTTCCCTCACTTTACAAATGAAAGGTTTACTTCTCATTGCCCCAGGTTTCAAGATCCTTCAGGGCATCAAAGAGAGACAATTCAAAATTTCTGTTTGGTACAGAAAATGTGAATGCTCTAATGACTGAGGAAATATCCTTTTTTCGTTGTTTTCAGCAAAATTTTAGGTGAAACTAAATTCGAATCCAAAGGCAGGAAAAGGCTGGTGTCCAAGCTGGAAGGCAGTCAGGCAGGAGAAATTCTAGCTGAGGAGAGGGAGGGTCAGCCCTTTCGTTGAGTTTGGGCCTTCAAGTGATTGGATGAGGCCCACCCACAGGAGGGAGGACTATCTGCTTTACTCAGTCTACTGATTTAAATGTTAATTTCATCCAAAAACACCCTGACAAAAACAATCAGAATAATGTTTGTTCAAATATCTGGGTACCCTGTGGCCCAGTTAAGCTGAAAAATAAAATGAACCATCACAAGTCCACCACTTGTCAACTTGGCACCCATACATTAAGCTCCAGATGAAGAAAATAAAATGGTCATAATTCCACACTCTCGGCTCTATCTCCTAAAGCTGTCATAACTGGGGGCTTCTCCCCGTACACAGAATGGAGACTCCACGTGCAGTGAGCTAGGAGGCCCCCAGGCCCACGTGTCTATGCTGCGTCTCTCAGCACTCACTGTCCTCCTCCCTGCACACAGCCTGGAGACTCCACGTGCAGTGAGCTAGGAGGCCCCCAGGCCCACGTGTCTATGCTGTGTGTCTCAGCACTCACTGTCCTCCTCCCTGCACACAGCCTGGAGACTCCACGTGCAGTGAGCTAGGAGGCCCCCAGGCCCACGTGTCTATGCTGTGTGTCTCAGCACTCACTGTCCTTTACTGTTTGATGTCCTATGTTTGAAAAGTGTTTTTTCGTATATATTGTTCTGTTTTTCCAGTTGTTTCAGGCATCAGGAGAAATCTGGTCCTTATTAATCCCTCTTCGTCATAAGTCCAACTTTGAAAGAGTCCACGTTTTTGACACTTTTTGCATTTTTCTATTATACCATAAAACTGCTCTATGAATAAGTGTTTGCAGAATCTAATTACTTGCATACAAGATTAGCTTTTTTTTTAAAGAAAGCTTGATGAAAAGGTAATATTTCTTTCATAACTTCAAAACTCTTCACGTAATCCAAAGAAGGTATGCAAAGTACTGAGACTTTTGATACTAACTTGTACAAATTCAAAGTACCTTAGAAAGGCGTCAGGGACTAGTTTTCAAATTAAAAACATAGTTCACTAAAGCAGAATGTGGAAGTACATATACTAGACTTTAATCTCAGTTACCTAAGTTAGAGGAGGCAAGAAGAAAAACAAAACACTTTCTTTTCTTTTTTTCTTTGTTTTTTGAGGAAGATTAGCCCTGAGCTAACTGCTGCTAATCCTCCTCTTTATGCTGAGGAAGACTGGCCCTGAGCTAACATTCATGCCCATCTTCCTCTACTTTACACGTGGGATGCCTACCACAGCATGGCTTGCCAAGCGGTGCCATGTCCGCACCCAGGATTCAAACCGGCGAACCCCGGGCCGCTGAAGCGGAACGTGCGAACTTAACTGTTGTGCCACCGGGACGGCCCCAAAACATTTTATTTTAAAAATCGTGTACAGGCCTACCTGCTTCTGCCCTGGCAACAATTTCCCATCTGGCTATAAAAGCATTTGATATAAAATCTTAGGCTCAGGATGTTGTGGACAGAGCCATGAGGAACCTGTATCACTTCTTTACAACACTGATTTTGGCCTTTACTTCACTACTCTAGTAAGTACAGTACTGTCCAGGAATTGACCAAGATGATTAAGGCCAGGGGAAAGAAACAAAAGCATCAAGAAAATATTACAAAAGCTAAACACCAGAAATAAGAATGATGGAAAGCAGGCTCTGAAACCAGAAGAAAATCAAATGGAAAATTATACAAAAGTTTCTCCTTTGGGTTTTATGACAGTCTTATTTAATAAGCAAAGTGTGACCCATATGAAAGAAGCATGTTAGTCCCCCCCCGCAAATCCCCCCAGTTAATAGTTGTATATTTTAGTTGTGAGCCCCTCTACTTGTGGCTAGAATCATGTTAGTTTTGACCTCAGTATTATAAAGTGACTTTTACACATGGGGGTAGAAGTTTGCTGGTATCTGTTGTTAGTTATTGTAAATTAATATGTATTATGCTATAAATTCTTTATAAATGTCTTAGTCATTTGTCATTTTTTAGACTATGCACTGAAAACACCACATAGGAAAAAATAACTGTAGATTATGAATTCTATTCAAATAATGGCTTAAATTGGGTTCCTGTTCTGGACAAAGAAACCAAGAATTCCAAAAGTCAGAGCTGTCTTCTCTGAGGTGCAAAGTGTGCTTTGGCTTAAAAAGGATCCAATACATCAATCCCATGTTTTATTATTACGGCTCATTTCTTGGAAGAGAATAATTTCTGGCCTTCTCAAAGCCAGATGATATTAACTACATGAGTCCTTGTGACTTCTGCATTTGTCCCCTTCCTCTGAGCTATACCTTTGGGATACTGACAATGTAATACCTGATAATATTCTGCAGCTGTCTTTCTTTACCTAACTTTTTTCAGAGTTCTCTTATTATCATGACAATAATAATTTTATTTATGTCAGTTTTTAAGAGCTTATTAATGTTTTTTGCACCTCTGATATAAATTTTAAGTTAAAAAAATTGTCCAAGAACACCAATTTTAAAATGAAAGTATACACTCAAATAAATTTGATACTTTTCATCAGGGGAAAAGAATATACATATGGTCCCATTAATATATTTGAATATATGTAATATAAACAACATATTTTCATGAAGTGTCTAAAATGCAGTATTGAATTAGTATATCTATACCTGCAAAATCTCAGCAGGGTCTTCTTTTGCAGATGCAACCAACAAAGTATGCCCATTGATGATCCCTTCTGCCAGGAAATACTTGAAGAGCAAAGGAGAATAAATATTATATTTATCCTCTTCTGTAAAAAGAAAAAAATATAGTCAGAATCCCACCACTTACAGAGCACACTCATATATTTTCATAACTTTTCCCTTAAAACAAGTATGTGAGGCAGGTCAATAACCATGTTCCTAAGGTAAAGTCAGGCAGAGAGACTTCTCTAGATAGTCAACGGGAAGCAGGCACTTTCAAGAGAATGTTTCTGATTCCAAAATCATACTCTATCTACTGTACTACCATCCGATATCCACACAATTCAGAGGGTTATGTATGATTACATCAAATCAGAGATCTTTTCCTTTACTAAGATTTTCTCAGGCACTGCACCTCTAAAATGGTCATTATTACCTGCCAATCAGTTTGTAAACTCACACCTCATTTCTTTCATGTCACAATAATTCAGCATTTAGTGTATATAGCCTGATGATTAATATTTATAAAATTTGTAAAAACAGTATTACTCATAAATTCTGGTTTTGGGTTTTAAATCCAACAATAATTTAAAATTGAAGATTTTAATTTGATAGAGTTCCTAAATTTGTCCTAAATGTTTTCCTAGTAAATAATTCTTTCACCTTTTATTATTCCCTCATCTTCCTTTCTTTCTGAATTTTAACAAAAAATGACGAATCAGGTTTCTTAGACAAAAATGTGCTATTTTTGAGATTTTGTGACATAATGACAACTTAAGTATATCTTTGTTCTCTTAATATTATTGATAAGCTACTGGCCTACACTTTATATAAGCTTTCTTTCCTTTAATACTTTGAACACAACATCAAAGACAAGAGACAGAGGTAAATTTACTGCACTATCCAAAGAGAGTAGTTATTATTAATTTAACCAACAAATATAAATTGAATTCCTATAATGTACCACGTATTGCTAATATTTATGAAAAACCACACATTTAAAAAACATTCCAAAGAAACTTTGCACTTGTGGTAATGTTAGCACTGTGCAAAACCTCTTGTACGTATAACTATAAAACCTGGATAAAATATGATTAAAAAATAACTACTTGGGGGCCGGCTCCGTGGCCGAGTGGTTGAGTTTGCGCTCTCCGCTCCCGGCGGCCCAGGGTTTGGATCCCGGGTGCGGACATGGCACCACTCGTCAGGCCATGTTGAGGTGGTGTCCCACATCCCACAACTAGAAGGACCTGCAACTAAGATATACAACTATGCACAAGGGGGGTTTGGGGAGATAAAGCAGAAAAAAAAAAAAAAATAAATAAATAAATACTTGAAGGCACTGGAAAGCAATAAAAAGCAGGCAGCAACCACGGCAGTTTCCTTTTGAAAGACAGTCACCAGGACACACAAGAATTTCAAGTTTGTTGCTTTTATGCCTAAGAGCATTCCTAACCTCCCTGAGCTCTGGCAGCATTAAATCATTCTTTCCAGCCTGAGGTGGCAGAATATGGAGTTAATTGTTGTCAAAACAGCTGAAAGTTTAGGGGAAAAATCTTGGAAGTAAGGGATCTCCAGAAGATTTATCAACTGTGCCCAAATTCCTGGATGACCACTAAGCTATACATGAGTAGGAGGAAGAAACACCAAGCAGGAAAGAGGAATAGAATAAAGTCGAAAGGCATAACTGAATCATGCGAGAGTCACAAATTTGCTGCCCGTAGGCAGGTACGCATTTCCCGATCTGAGAGCAGAATCCTGTACCTTAGAAGTCTTATTGACTTGAGGTATCAGAGCACAGAGCTCAGAGCTGAGAACCACAGAAAGTGTGAGCCCCAAATCTGAGCATAAATTCTGTAGATATTTGGCTGTCTACTAACATTTGTGATTGCAGGGGACAACTTTGTGAGACCAGGATAAAAAAGCAACATCCGAAAGACGGAAAAATTGAGAGATACTATCTGCTGCACAGTACACTGAAGTTAGAGTTAATAATGTAAGACCAGGCAAGTTAACAGCCGATGAAAACAAAAAACCAGCACCCCAAGAAAAACATAATGGAATTCAGAATCATTACGATGCAATAATTATAATGTGTAGATTTCAACCAAAAATTACTGAATGACCCATACTAAGGAAAAACACAACCTCCAGAAACCGACTCCAAATGGGCTCAAAAGTTGAATTTACTAGAAAAATACTTAAAGGCAGCTATTATAAATATGTTCAAAGAATTAAAGAGAAATGTATTCAAAGTATTAAAGGAAAACATGGTATTAAGTGAACAGAAAAGGAATATCAACAGAAAAATGGAAACTATAAAAATGAACCACACAGAAAATTTAGAGCTTAAAATCATGATTCCTTAAATAAAAAATTTACTAGGAGGTCTCATGGGTAGACTGGAAATGGAGCAAGGAAAAAAATAATCAGTAAACCTGAAGTCAGATCAACAGAAATTACACAATCTGAAGAACATAGAAAAAAAATTAAGAAAATTGAACAGAACCTCAGAGATGTGGAACAATATCAAGCAGTCCAACAAGCGTTTAATTGGAGTCTTAATGGAGACATTAAGAGACAGCAGAAACAATATTTAAAGAAGTGATGGCCAAAAATGTCCCAAATTTGACAAAAATGCTAAGTTACAGATCCAAGAAGCACAAGAAACCTCGACAAGGATAAATGAGAAGAAAACCAAATCTAAGAACACAATAGTTAAATTGCTGAATCCCAAAGATAAAGAGTTAATTCAGGAAACAGCAGGGAGAAATGACATATGATATGAGGGGTACAACGACACAACTAATAACTGATTTCTCATCAGAAACAATGAAGGCCAGAAGATATGATAATTTTACCTTCAGAGAGTTGAAAAAAATCTTAACCAAAAATTTTAAATGTGCAAAACATATAATTCAAAAATTGAGGTGAAATACTATTTCAGATAAAAACTGAGAGAATTCATGGACAGCAGAATTGTACTACAAGACACTAAAAGCTAAAGGAAAATGTCACAGCGTGGTAACTTGTATTTACAGAAAGGAATAAAAAATACAAATAATGATAAATATGTGAGAAATTATAAAACACTGTGATTGTATATGTATTTATACATAGATATGTATGCATGTGAATAAATTAATTTTTTCTTTGAATTTTTTAAAAAATACAACTGTTTAAAGCAAAATTTTTAGAACTAAGGAAAGAAAGAGAGACATTATATTTGGAGATTTTATCATCTATTTCTTAGTATTTGGCAGAATGACTAAAAAGAAAAATCATTAAGAAAATAGAAAATCTGAACCACCTCATCAACCACCTTAATCTGATTAGACTACACAGTTCCAGAATATACATTCTTTTTTTAGTGCATCTAGAATGTGCACCAAGATAAACCATATGCTAAACTAAAAAACAAGTTTCCATACATTTCAAAACATGAAAATCTTACTATGTTCTCAAATTATAATGGAATTCAATTAGAATTCAATTAACAATAAGATATTTACAAAAACTCCAAATATCTGAAAATTAAAGCACATGCTTCTAACTATGGATCAAAAATAAACGAAAAAGAAAAGTAGAAGATATTTTGAACTAAGTGATTATAGAAATACAATATATGAAAAGTTTTGGGGAATAGCTAAAGCAGAACTTAGAAGAAAACTCACAGCTTTAAATGCTGAATTTTTGGTCAGAAAATAAGATAGGTCAAATCAATTGTAAAAAGCTACACAGATAAGTTCATGTAAAATTTAAACAAAGTAAATGCAAAGAAATAATAAAGAGGAAAAATCAGTAAAAGAAAAACTGGACCAGAAAAAAAAGGAGAGAAAATCAGAGATGCCAAAAGCTGGTTTTATGAAAAGGTCAACAAAACTGATAAACATCTATCCAGGCTGATCAAAGGAAAAAAGAGAAGAGCCACAAATTATCAATACCGGGAATGAAATAGAAGATTTCACTAAAGATCTTACAAATATTGAGAGCATCAAAATAAGTACTATGGACTTCAAAAAATTTCACAAGCAGAAGAAACAAAATTCCTTGAAGGACACACATTATTAAATATGACAAAAGAAACAGAAAATCAGAACTAAATTCATAATTAAAACTGTCCCTTCCGCTCACCCACAAAAACTTCAGGCACAGGGAACTTTACAGCAAATTCAAACACGTAACAAAGAAATACTAATCCTAAACAAACGCAGAAAAAAAGAACAGGAAACAATTTCCAACTCACTTATATGCCCAGTATTATTATGATACCTAAACCAAAGACTTTCAAAAACCACAGACCATTTAAGGAAGAAATACTCTTTCGAAAAAAAGAAAGTGTGGAGAGGAACACTTTGGAACTCACTTTATAATGCCATTATTACCCTGATAGCAAACCTAGATCAAGATATCACAAGGAAAAAAAGCTACAGACTAATATGCCCCATGAACATATACGAGAATAATTCTTAAAACATCAAAAGACAAAATCTAGTAATTTATTAAAATAATAAAATAATATAGCATGATTAAGTGTGGTTTATCACAGAAATGCCAGGTTGGTTTTCAATTTGAAAAATTGATGTCCCATAATGACATATTAAAAAAGTAAAACCATATGATCATTTCAATAGATGCAGCAAAAGCATTTAACAAAATTCAAAAGCAATTTATAATAAAAACTTTTAGCAAATTAGGAACAGGATGAAACTTCTTCAACCTGATAAATAGTTTATCTACAATACATGTATAGAAAACAGAATAAGATGCACGCTTTCTTCCTAAGATTAGGAACAAGCATATCAACTCTCATCATTTCTAATCAATATTGTTCAGAAGGGTAGCCACCAAAAAGAAATGAGAGGCATACAGATCGGAAAACATGAAGTAAAACAGTCTTCATTTGCAGACATTATCACACACGTAGGAAACCTTAAGGAATCTACCAAAAAGCTAGTAGGATTAATAAATCAAGGCTATCAAAGTTGATTTTTTCTTTTTTAAGATTTTATTTATTTTTTCCTTTTGCTCCCCAAAGCCCCCCGGTACATACAAAGTTGTATATTCTTCGTTGTGGGTCCTTCTAGTTGTGGCATGTGGGACGCTG